GGGAAGAACCCCAATCCCACAAATAATGCGGAGAGGAAAGGTACCAATTACTAAAGCAACCGTGATGTGGACACTACAGAGAACATCTCCATCTGGAACCCTGAATCTCTTTAAAGTTGATTAAAATTAATTATCCTTGGGTACAAATGATAGAACTAATTATGTAATTAATCTTACTCTAAGGTAAATTATAGTGGATAAAGTAAGAAAAGAGATATCATAAGAAAATAATGTAAATGCATTCTGGCCAAACCGTCACCTCAATTTATTTGGGAGATAGTTAAAGAAAGAAAGCACAGCAGTCCCCCATTATCTGCAACTTTGCTTCCTGTAGTTTCAGCTACACACAGTTAAATGAAATTTGAAAATATTAAATGGAAAATTCTAGAAATATGGATCCATAAGTTTTAAATTTATAACTTTAAATGCTTAAACAATTTATAAGCTTAAAAATTCCAGAATTAAAGGATTCATAAGCTCGGAGGAGCATGATGAAATCTCTTGCCATCTCACTCTTTCTCATCCAAGACATGAGTTATACCTTCATCTAGTGTATCCACATTGTATATGGTACCTGCCCATTAGTCACTTAGTAGTCATCTTGATTACCAGACCCATTTTCATAGTATCAAAGTGTTTGTGTTCAGATCCTTATTTTATTCAGTAATAATACCAAAGCACACGTTTTATTATAATATATTGTTATAAGTTTTATTGTTATTGCTCTTAATCTTTTACTGTGCCTAATTTGTAAATTAAATTTTACCATAGGCATACATGTATAGAAAGAATATTGTATATATTCAGAACTAATTACATTTTCAGGTGTCCACCTTGGAACACATGCCCCCAGGTGAGGGGGGACTACTTTATTACCATATACTATGATACAGGCAGGTGACATCTGCTTTTCTGGCATGTTTGCATAGTCATGGAAAGTCAAACAGGTCCACGTCCCGTGTTCTTAGAGATATGCCTTGTCAATGTGATGAGGGATCCATGGCTGGACAGCATTTACTGGCCCCGCAGTTGTGTACTCAAGGGACATTTTCCAGTGGTTCCTCTCCCTGCCTTCTTCACTTCCCAATATGGCGCTGCTCTCAACAATCACAATCTGGCTGTCAGGCCCTGACCCTTCTCTGCGTCTTCTGCTCCATGCCTTCCACATCCACAGGTCTTTCTCCATGGGTTTCTCCAGTTTCTCATTTTAGATCAACCCCATGTTTCCTCTCAGAATGGGAGAATGGAGAAGCTCAGCTGCCTTGTTCACCCAAAGTATGTTTGATAGGTTTGATGGTATCTAAAGCCACTAGGCAGACCGTGTGTCTCCCTTACTCCCCTCTGAATCTCGCTGCCTACCTCTGCCACAGACAAAGTGGCCCCTACGGAAGTGCCGCAATCTGGCTGGGCACAAATCAGGAGCCACTGAAGCAGGAACAAACTTTATTTCCGAACTCCCAGGAACGCCACCCAGGCGGCCTTCTCCCGGGACACACCACCCCAACCGGAAATCCCTCCTCCGGAAATCCCTCCTCCCGCACTTCCCCAACCAATGGGAACTCTCAGCGAATCCCCAAAGTAGCAAGCGGAAGCGGACAGCAGGGGTCTAATATACAACTTAACATAACCATTATCATCTCAATGGCTTGCTGGCGTCACCTCTCAACCACTCCCGTCTGGCAAAAATGCCATGCGTCATTCTCAGCAAGAAGAATCTGCCATGTGAAGAATGCGAGTGAGATCAAAATGTAAAGATGCTCTCTCCATTTCTCACAACCCGCAGTTATGCTTTAACCCTCTCTCAGCAACATCCCAGGGCACCCAAAAGTCCCCAGGAACCCCATGGAATTCAGTTCTCAGGAAAGATTTCTCCTGGCCTTGGTCTTGCAGGGGGCTCTTCTACATGGCTGAAACCATTGCTCACACAATATGCCCAAGTCTGCTGGTCCCCAGATCCGATGCCGCGGCAGGGTGAGATTGCCCACCCAGCCTCCCTAGAGAAACTGATTCCGGTAAGGCTTTGAGAATCAACGCGTCTGTGTTTCTGCACAGCAGCCAGCAACCCGCAGCTAGAGAATCGTTTCTCCCTCTCTGTTTGAGTCTCTATTGATTCTGTAGTTGAAGAGGAAGCTAAGTGCTATCCAAATACCACATGCTCCATATGGCCCTGCGAATCCATGCTCCCCAGGCAGCACACCGCCTTCCTACCTACATTCGCGAGGTGCCTCATCCGTGTCTGGCAGAACACGAGGAACTTTTTTCCTGACCTATATTTGCTGACCAATTTGTTGTCTTCTTGCTTCCTGTATAACTTATTAATTGTGTCGAATTAATACACATGTGTGCATAAATACAAATTTATTCTCTTATTCATCCTCATAATCACTTAAAGGAGAACAATTTCTGAACCATTAAAGAGAATCCTTAAGCTAAAATGTCTCCGGTTCAGGATTCAGATGATCCTCTTTAACTGAGAAATACAGAGATTTTCAAGTTAGAAAAACAATGAGGCCCGAATCAAGGCAGCATCTATATCTAGTTGCAGTCGAATGAGTGAAAGGCAATGGCTGAGGCCATTCAAGCCACCCCATATTCGTCCCCTTAGTGTCATATAATTCTTTGGCCCTTTTTCCTTCCACCTTTCATGTAGGATTCAGCCAAGGGGTTAAGGGACTCAGAACGCCTCAGTTTTCTTTTGTGTGTTTCAAAAATCATAAAGCATCCATTGCCCAAGAGCTGGAGGTCTTGGAATCTACCTTCTCTGTCATTTATTAGTGACATGGAGCTTACTTAGTAATGAAGGAAAGGATGAGCCACGTAGGGTAGGTCACATATGGTGCCGGAAGACTAGGCTCTCGCTAAGAGGCTCACAGGAGGCCAGGAGCCACCTGTCCCTGGGCACTTGCTGAACCACAGGGATGACACAGCCCTCAGGGAGGGAGGTACTGCTCTCACGTGGGCTGATCCTAGGGAGTCCCTGGCCAGGGGACAGGGAAACCAGTGATTTCAGAACCCTGACCAAACCTGAAACACTTTGATCAGGCAGTTTCTCCAGGACTGGGATTACTCTACTGATGTAAATCTACTTCACTCACAAGTACATTAAACATTTTCCTGGACTCCCAAAGAGGGTTAAAAGGAGGAGGAAGAAGGGAAGGATAACTTTACAAACCCAGGATTATACTTCAGTTAGTGTCATATTTTGCATTTGGTGATGACCATCTTGATCACTGACTCATATCATTAATGTTCTTTTGATTTAAGATTTTTAATGATTTTTAAACATGTCACGTGTATTTACTTGAAACAACACCCCATGAGATGGGGACTATTCTTATCTAAATTTTACAAATGTAGACTTGCCTAATATCACACATTGAGAAGAAACGCAGAGCTAGAATTTGAGACCAGGCAGTCTGGACCTACAGCCCGAGACCTACTGGGATCTCCAGCCTCTGCGTCCTCAAGGGCTGCCAAAGTTACATTTGGTCCCATCCCATAGTTGCATTTAGCCACATGCACGTACATACAAAATCCTACAAGTATTTTTTAACCAATGAGCACTATAACCTTGGATACACATTTATGAAGGCTTTTCAGTAAATATCTTTTGATTCCTTTTAAGAATTGAAAAAATTGGGCTGGGGATGTGGCTCAAGCGGTAGCGCGCTCGCCTGGCATGCGTGCAGCCCGGGTTCGATCCTCAGCACCACATACAAACAAAGATGTTGTGTCCGCTGAAAACTAAAAAATAAATATTAAAAAATTCTCTCTCTGTCTCTCTCTCCCTCTCTCACTCTCTCTTTAAAAAAAAAAGAATTGAAAAAACTTTATATTCCACCAGAAAATTATTGCTATCCAGTGATTTCACAATTGTCTAAAAATACTTGGCCAAAAAAAGAACTTAAAATTCCCTGGGGTTCTTCCACTCCTTCTTGATTTAGTATTATTTCTCGAATGTCAAAATCTGGTAAGTTTCAAGTATGCTACTGTCTACAAGGGAAAGGTTCCTTAAAACAGTACAATTTACATATAAATGCCCTCCTACACAAACGTGCACATCTACACACATGCACACACACCCACACACACGGACACACAAGCATACCACTCCTCATGACTGGCAAACTGTTTTCATTTTTGGAATTCGCAGCATTGGAAAATTCTGTGAATACAGATATTCTCATCCATTTCCTCTGGAAATAGAAACGGTGCGGTTTTATTGGAAAGTAATTTGGCAACAAGTATCAGAAGTCTTAAAACCTGAAAACTCTTCAATTCAGCAGTTTAGTGATCGGCAATTACCCTAAGGAAGTCATTAATAATAGGAACTAATACAGAGCCATGAGAGCATTTTTGGTAGTCTAAAAGCAAACAAAAATATATATGTACCTGTATGTATATGCATATGTATCTTTCTTTATATGTGTGTGTACATATATACACACATATAATATATATATATATATATATATATACATATATATTTCTTTTTTATAAAAAAAGACTATATTCACCTAGAAGGGAGCAACTGGATGAATTTTATTTGTTCGATGTATATGACATAATTATAATACTTTAAAATATTTTCTATTTTGAAATACTATAAAATACTTTATAGAATCACAAAACATATTGCTATGAAAAGATGTTGGTTGTTAACAGGAACAAAGATTAGTTGACGGTCCACAATGCACTATTCCCTCCCACTATCTGATGGTGCCTCTCGGGCTGAATATATGAACGCTGCCTTCAGAATCATCCCTTTCTTAGCAGTATCTTGCCATCCTGCCTGACCAGCCATCTCAAAAATACGTAGAAATTGTTTTCTTTCCCACTAAGAAAGTAACCCTTCTATTTTGATAAGTCTCTTTTATCAAAGAGTCAACAGAGGGAGAGAACGTAGACATGCGGAAGTCTTTCTGGTGTGTGTGGCGACACTGCCACACCCACGGCTCTCTGGAGACCTGTGGCTCAGGCTGATGGCACAGGGTGCTTACCTGCACTAGGTGCTTTCATCACAATGCAGGACCATGCGCCCCGGCTCCTCCCAGCAGATCTCTTCACACAGATTTTGCTTGAGTAGAAAAGGTGGCAGTAGAGACTCGAGGTAAGAGGCCTGGACCTGAAATCACATGCAACATTCTGGTTGAGTTAGAAGCTCCTGTGGCCACAGTCAGCATTAGCCAAAGTCACAGAAAAGAGCAACACTACGCTCTGTGATCGCCCCATCACACACACACACACACACACACACACTCAACACGTGCACACGGGTCCAATAAAACAAAACAACTCAGCAAGCAGAGGCACAACTATTCCCCTTCCCCAGGGTAGCAAGTTCTGGCCCAGGGTTGTTTCCTACCCCATCCCCCAACTTTAGGGACATCAGCAGCAAAATGATCCTGTTTCCCCCCTCCTCCCCATCCCACAATTCCAAGAGTTCAGAGAAATAAAGAGGGCCTAGTTCTTCATACAGTGTCAGGAACAGGCTCAGATTCTTTCTAGCCCCAAAGTGAGGCCATTTTGGAACACGTGTTCACCACCACCTGGTCTTTCACTTTTTGCCTTTTACTTTACAATCCCCAGTGCCTCCTCTGATAACCCTGGTAAGGACCGCCATCCGTGATAACCAGAGTCGTCACCAACGCTCACGAGACACCTCTGTGTTCCTGTGTATGCGAAGGGCCTTACACCCTGTAAGGGCTAGTCATGCTCCTACCTCTGCAGTCAACGGGAAAGCTAAGCCTGGGACAGCTCATGGAGGTCAAAGCCAGTGTGCAGGCCGGCGAGGTGCACAGAGCCCTGGCTCACAAGTTCAGCACCACCCCATCCCTACACAACTGATCTCACTGTCCACATTTCTGTCCTTATTATAACAAAGTTCAATATCATACTATATCACTGCATTTTTCCCCCCAAAGTTGATATGTCACCCAAGTCCTAATATCACTCTTTTTGGATGTGACTGTCCTTTGGTTTCGATTTTCAAGCTCAATTGAACTCAATATGTTTAGATTGCTATTGACAGTGAATGGAGTATTTTAGCAAATGAAAAAATAATCTCAAGCAATTCCAAATCTAGATGCCAAAAGATGAAATGAAATCCTAAAATCCAAGTCTTATCTGAGTGGTTAAGTTTCATTAGAAAGAAGACAGGTGATGAAATAAAAAGCCATCTGTGAAACCCTAAATAAAGATAAAAATAAAGGCAGGGATTTCTAAGCATAATAGATCCCTGAGTTTAAAAATACCCCAACATGTTTACCTATTTACAAAGTTAACATACCATAGGTCTTAGATTCATCACAACATGAAACACAGGAGACTATCAAGGAATCAACAGAATCCTTTATGCATCCTGCAATGGTTGGGATGCACCTTGTCCCACAAGGGATCCCATTTAGAAGCTTGGCTCCCAGTGTGGCACCATTAAGAGGTAGTGGGACCTTGGTCACTGAGGTCACTGACCTGAAAGGGGATCAAGATTCTCCTGGGACCCTGAGTTGGTTCTTGAGAGAGGGCTGTCATTTAAAAAAAAAAAAAAAAAAAAGCAAGACCAGCCCCTCCCTCTCTCTGGCTTCCTGTCTGGCCATGTGATCTCTCTCTCCCTCTCATCTGAGCTCCATCCTGGAGCCATCCACCATGATGTGGCACAGCCAGGTGGGCCCTCACCAGGGTCAGGGCCATGCTGCCTGGACTTTCACACTCCAAAACTGTGAACTCAATAAGCCTTTTTTCCTCATAAAGAATCCAGCCTCACATATTTCATGATAGTAATTGAAACTGGACTAATACAGGTCCCACAATGAGTCCCCTTTTGCATTTGTGTGTAGAGGACTGCCCTCAGGGGCACTCAGCCACATTCTGGTCTCCCTACAGATTTTCTGCCTTACTGCAATTCATTAAAAGCACCTTGGTCTTGCAGGCCTCGGGGTCTTCTCAGGTGACTTCCTCCTGTCACCAACTGCCCTGTATTCTTTTCTCTGTGCGCATTCAGCTGGGTCCTCTTCTCCCATCCCGACCTCCCTCCTCCTTCCTGCGTCTGGGGTCACTCTCCCTTGCTATGCATCACCTTTGTAACTTCATTTTCTACCTGATTCCTCCATTGACGCCTATTCCCATGAATCAGCACCATGCATGCTCCTGCTCACTCTCTGCTGCATTCAACACGAGGCTTTGCAGGGTGTGACTCTCCACAGAGTCTCCCGAATGAACAGAGGAAAAGAGGAAGGAGGGAAGGAAGAAGCTGGGGAAAGGAAGGGCGTCCCTATTCAGGATCATTTCATTAGAGTTCCCTGGATGAACGTGCTGAGGACCTTGCAGCGCACAGAGGACCTGCTCATTCCGTTGAGTGGCAGGTGAGGCTCCTTGTGATCCAACCCTGGCCAGCTGGGCCTCCTGCAGAGGCAGGGACACATCCCTGAACCATCCCCGCTCCTCATGCCCGTCTATACATCCTGTCTCCTCCATCCCCTCCACACTCCTCTTCATTCACACACTTGCTCATTCCCCTACTCTCAGGGCTGGGAAAGAGCCCGGTTGCCTTCTGGGAAGCCAAGGCCTCTTCTCTGGGTTTCTACAAGACTTTGTACCTGTCGCTGTTACAGCGATTGTCACAGTTTCCTGTACTCCTCTTTTAAGCAGCTCCATCTCTCCCACTACCTGGGAAGTTCCTTCAAGGCAAGGGAGGCACCCTGCATCACAGTGTCCCCAGAGGTGCCCACAGCAGCCAGGCATGTAAATTGTCACTAAGTCAGCATTTGTTGAGTGAACAAGAACAGAAATGATCTACAGAGTCAGGTACCACTTAACCACAGGGAGAGGTTCTGAGACACCACCATGAGACGATTCCATCCTGTGAACGCCATGGAGCACACTCACATAAACCTGGATGGTCTAGCCTGGTACACACCTGGGCTCTGGGGTCTAGGCTATGGCTCCTAGGCTGCAAATCTGTACAGCATGTTACCGTACTGAAGGCTGTAGGAAACTGTGACATAATGGCATTTGTGCAACTAAATATGTCTAAATATAGACAAGGTATATTATATATAATTTTACAGGACTCTCTGCATATGTGGCCGACTGCTGATCTAAACACCACTATGTGATGTGTATATATATCCTCACACTCATGTACTCACTTGTAATTGCACTGCTTGTAATCCCAGCTACCCAGGAGGCAGAGGGAGGATCTCAAGTTCAAGGCCAGCCTGGGCAACTTAGAAAGACCCTGTCTCAATATAAGACAAAAAGGGTTGATTGAAGATGTAGTTCAGTGCTCACCTAGCATGTGTGAGGTCCTGGGTTCAATTCCCAGTACCACAAAAAAATTATAAATGTCTCACCGTCTCACCACTAAATGTTTCCTTATGATGCAAAAATAAATTTTACTTGCCAATATTTTTGACAACTTAAATATATATATATATAAAATATATATATATATATATATATATATATTTAACATGTATAACTATGTATAGTTAATATGTATAACTATATATAGTTATAAAGATAATATATAGTTATATTTTTATAGAGTTAATAAAGACTTTACTGTTGTGAAGCATCATAGTTATAAATTCATCTGCAAATTGGGCATATTAATACGTACTTCACAGCATAGACAGGAGAATTAAATAAGTTATATGAGTAAAGTATGTAGTGCAGAGTGTGTAGCATGCTGAAATCACTTTATAAACATTATCTGTGTAATCATTATCATTATAGCCAGGGCAATCATGCTGAAATTATAATTCATGCTTCAAATTTATCAGTTTTATTTGCCAGCTTTTTTCCGCTAAAACATTAATTAGCATTAGCATCTCTGTACGGCCATAAAAACGGCTAGAGAGGCACTCAGCTAACCAAGGATAAAGGATGGTCTACTTCACTGCGGCCGAAGGACAAATTACTGTGTCCATAATGTGCAATATGTGTGTGAAGGGACAAAGGCATTGACAGAAAAGAAGTATTTCTGCACAAAAGTCATCTATAAAATCAAAGTGATAGAAATAATAAAGTTTGCCATTTAAGAGCTGTAAACATTTGCCTGTAATAATTACAAATATTTACTGTGAATTATTTCTTTAGCTAAAAAAGCAGGAGACATATGCATACATTTCTTTTAATTATTAGACAGCATAATGTGACTTTATCAATAAATATTAAGAATTGGTCTCATGATTATCCATAAAATGTTTGAATTGATAGCAAACACATTCATTTGTGGTCTATTAGACACTACTCTGATTTAGAATTGCTGAAATTTAGTGAAATAGACTACTCAGAGAGAAAAAAGAAAAACAGGCAAGATCAATTGGCAATAGTGTTTGGGGAAAACAAATAATGTAAGAGCGGATTGTTTGCAAATGCTACCAGTACATACAGTAGTTGAGAACAAGTGAGTGAGTCATCCTGTATTCTAGGAGGCAAAGTTACAATATTGCCATGAATCGCTCTTTCGCTTGCAAACTGACCAAGTTTAAATGGAGTATAGTAAAGGATTTTATAAACCATGTGCTATTTGACATATAAGGTACTATCATTATTACACTTTGAGATGTCTGTGATAAATGATGACATCCAGAGTAAGCAAGGTGTTTTGGGTTTTTTTTTGTTTGTTTGTTTTGTTTTGGTACCAGGGATTGAACCCAGGGGTTCTTAACCACATCCCCGGCCTTTTTTATATTTTATTTAGAGACAGGATCTCACCAAGTTGCTTAAAGCCTCGCTAAGTTGCCAAGGCTCGCCTTGAACTTGCGATCCTCTGGACTCAGCCTCCTGAGCCACTGGGATTCCAGGTGGGCACCACCACACTCAGTGCAAGTCAGGTTTCTGATTGGGGTTCGACTCCTTTTTCAGAGATACCAGAGTTATACCAGAAAATGTTATAAAAATGCTAAGTTTCTAACTTCTAATTTTACCAAAAGAATACTAAACTACTTTTAAACTAAATCATAATCCTCTTCACTGGTCACAACTATGAAACAGTTTCACAGAATGTAAACCTATTGCTTCTTTGCAACATAATTAAAGAAGGCAGAAGAGACAAAGTTAGCCCCTAACAGTCCTGCATGAGACAATTCTATTTGAACTCACTTGATTTCATTGTCATGA